ATTTGTACGACCACGGCGCCAATTTCCGGGGCACAAACTCGAAGTAGTGTAGTTTATTAGGGTCAGATGATCCTCCTAATCCACTCTATTTCGAATTCGGGCCCCAATGATAAACGCCAAAGTCGTTCAAATCATTACGAACTTCGCCGCGCAATTTGCCGCGCGCATCCTCGGACGCACGTTCGTACACATATCCGATAAAACTAAGCGTAGTGTTACCGTAGCTGCATTTAGTACGTAAATGCAGACCGCGAGGGGTGTGGAAATAGATAGCACCCCTCTTTGTCCACACATCCATAAAGACTCAGTTGTGAAATTTGTGCAATTCAGGACAATGAGTTGGAACAATGGCGCGATGATGTGCGACGTGATGCCTACAATCAGCGAAGATGGTGTTGACAATGCCCCTACCACCGACGGCCCCGCGCATGACGCCAATATAGAACAAGTGGGTTTAGCTTGAGATAGGTTTCAGGGAAGGACCAGGCATGGGTCGACTGTCCTCAGGCAGTGCCCTCGATGTTTCAAGTTCAGAAATTTGGTGGGAAGTTAATGTTCATTTTTTGTTTGCTTTTACAATTCGTTATCTGACTAGCCACCAATGCAAACTTTCATGTTTTCCTTCGAATACTAGAATATTATCAAGTACTGCTGAAGCTTGGTTGTTCTGTTTCTGGTGCTTTCCTCATAATACTTTCCTAGTCACTCCGTGTCGAGAGCGTCGCGCGTTTGAAAGTCGAAATTTCAGTAGCTACATCATTCTCAGTGGGCAGAGGCGGTGGCGCACTTCACACACGCATGGTCGAGGGTTTAAATCCCGGATCAATACAGCCCAGGCCAATCAAGCCTTCCATCCCTCCGGCGTCGATTAATTGGTTCAGACTTGTCTGGGAGAATAAAGTCACTGACTTGTACATAGGCTGGCCACCGCAAGTTATTGTGTAGGCGACATACGCTTCTGTACGCCACTACGATTCTGAATGGAAGTCGAATACATGAGCGCATCCACAAGACGGGATTGATCAACGCCCCAAGACCTTATACTTTATCCTTTACATCATTCTCATCCACTACATGGCATTTAATCACACAAATACTAATGTTACCTTTTTCCTTTAGCTTATGGTCAACATTCTCGAAGATCGTGATAAATTTTCTTTAGCTTATGGTCAACATGCTCGAAGATCGTGATAAGTTACAAGAACAGGTGGAGCATTACAAACATCAAATGGAGGATAACAATCGAAGAGTTCGTGATTTGGAAAAGGAAAAAGAGAGCCTCCGAAGGCAATTCGAAATGCACACGCAGAACTTGCCTAATGTAGGTCCTTGGCTATTCATTTTTGGGTGCCTCGCGTTGAAGGCCTTGCTTATCAATAATGAAAAGAGGCGAGCGCGAAGGTTGGCATAGAGTTAGGTGCAGCCAGACATGTGTTCTTCTGCGCTGTCTATAGAAAGTTCCCAGTTTCCCTGACTTATGATTGCCGCTCTTCAAGCCTGTTTTCAATTCCGGAATATTGTTTACTGATTATTGATTACCGTTTCTACTAATTCTAGGAGTATTACCGCCTGATGGTATTGTCTCTCTAGGTGATAGGAGTGCAAAGCTGGTTCAAACTTAGGCTCTGATGAGAAACTAATTATTATTACTGCTTACGAAGCGCTGTGTAATGAGTATGTGTGTATATATGTGTACAGGGTGTCCCAAAATTATGTGCGCCAAGATTCAGAAATTTATAAGTGAAAATAATCTATCAAATTCACATCACCTGCTATTAATTAGTTGCATAAGATGGTTTTCTTGCGCAATATGCATGGTTACTGATGTGGAACTCCCAATATCTTTAAGATGGAGGAGGCTCATTCGATGCCACTTGCAATCACTGACACGCGAGAGGTGGAAGGGCATTATGAAATTTCTTGGGATCCCTATAATAACCGTACAGGAGGCTTTTAAACGATATAGAAAAGAAGATTGAGTCAGACACAAACTGGGAAAGGTAGAAAAGGCCATTGTTTCTAAAGATGGTACTATTAAAATGATGCGTCTGGGAGTCGGTCGGGATCTCGAGTGATCCATCAAAAGAGAAAAGGAAAAGGAAGTCAACGGGCACGGCTTATCGGAGTTATCGCGATGGCTGCTTTCATAGTCCGCCGGCCGGCGTGCCGGTGGAGGCGGTGCTAGGGGGGAGGAGGGAGGCAGACAGTGTAAGGCAAACAGTCCACGCCCCTCCGAAGTTGTTTGTTTTCAGCCCCTCGGAGGGGCGTGGACTGTTTGCCTTACACTGTCTGCCTCCCTCCTCCCCCCTAGCACCGCCTCCACCGGCACGCCGGCCGGCCAGCGGGCGGACTATGAAAGCAGGCGATGGAAGAATGTCATGCAGATGTTTCATTGCCATTTCTATATGTAGAAATTTCGCTTCAATCCCGATCTCAACAGACCCTGCAGGGTCACAAAATGCAGAAAGTCGCAGGCCTACTTGAGTGATGATGACCGCAACACTTCATCGTTTTCTCTGCGAAAAATTTCCTACGATAAAACCATCCCTTAGCAGAGAAAGCGTTCGCGTTCCGGAAAAAACATATAGCGTGCAGTCTCGTACAACAAGGTTGCTATAAGAACAGTAAAAAGGTGTTTTTTGAGGAAATCACTGGCAAAGGTGAGCGCGCGTGGTTTCTTCGGTGCCAGCGTGAAAATTGATCAAGACCAGTGCTCAAAGAGCGTACTGATGGACGTAATGAAGAAGTGATCCGACTACGATTCCTGAAACATCTCGTAGTCCTTCTAGCAGGACCCTTCTTTAGTCCACAAAGCCAGCTTGCCCGCGAGTGGTGCCGACGACAGCTGCCCGACTTCATCGGTAAAAGGTAAAGGCCATCCTATTCTCCAAAACTTGACTTACTTGACTCCCCCGTATGGCCCATGATTAGAAGAGGACCTGTCGAGTTTGCAGTCCTAGTTTGGAGTCCTAGAAAGCAAGACTAAAGAACGGCTGGGGAAGAAATGGTGAAGGATACCTGCGTGTCACATGCGATCAGGTCGAGAGCAAACTTTGGGCCTCTATCCGCACTAAAGAGGAAACATAGAAATTTCATCTCTTTCGCAGTCGAAAAGCTTCAAATATATTGCTATGAATTGGCGCCATAACTTTGGGACGCCCTGTATGTTCATGAATGCCTGTCTCTTTGTCTGTCCGCCTGTCTTTCTGATCCTACAGCACGTGTAACGAAATGGGCGATGCTAATGGCAAAACTCCCCGCTATGGTATCAGGACTGGAGAGTATCGCGAAACAACGAGCCATGGGTGAGGGCTGCAGGTAGTCTGTAAGCGGGATAAAACAACTTGCAAACGCTTTTCACGCACATTGTGATTAGGCAAACAAACACTCAGGTATTAAGAAATCAAGCCTTGCTGCTACGCCGATCCTTCACCCTAACAACAGCACTATCACTGCCCGTTAGCCGCAGTGCTCGATCTGCTCATTCTTCTCACATGACCGGAGGAATCGCCTCTGGAAATCTGGAATTGTTTCACCGATTCGAGATGCAAATTTGAAATTAGCGTTTAATAATGCCGTTTAAGAATGCGGCGGGATACATCTGATCTTGAGCGGTACGTTCGGTGCAATATTCTTACCTTGTAAAAACACAAGCGATATCTGTATCCTCTAATCCACTGGCAACAGTGCGCTCTAAACATGTATGTGGAACCGATCGCGTTTCTCGCTTGAGCTATTACTGTTGCCTGGATGAGATAAAAGTTCAATAAATTGTAGGCCCAATCCACACCGAGTGCGATTGAACCAGTCGGATGTGTATGGCACACGTTAGGATAAGTAGTTTATGAGGGACACAATCACCGTGTCACCTGTCGTCCCGTTGATCATCAACTTCCTCGAGCGGGCGCCAGTAACTTCTCCATTCGACCCTGTCACGAGCCAGAGTAACCCAATGAATCTTCCTCGCTTAAGGGACACGAGGTCAACATTCCTTTCGTACGGAGCTTTCGAGAAGAAGTCTGACCATCCCGTTGATGGCCGTCCTGGAGTTCGCTTGATGTCACGATGTATCCAGTCACTCACCGCACTGGTCCAACGGTCATCACTATATCGCATGACGTGCTCGGCCCATCTGATTTTCGATTTCTTGGCGTAGTCAGCGGCATCCCTGATCTTCGTTCGACGTCCGAGCTCGCAACTTCGGATTCCCTTCTGCACTTGCGTGAATAGGGAAATTTTGAGCTATGTCCTTTCCGAAGTAACGTAGAGTAACGCAAATAGCATGCTCATCCTGCTTTCGTAGAATCCATGTCTCCGAGGCGTACGTCAAAAGGTGAGCGCGGAGCCAAACTTCCTCATTCTTCTTCACTACTTCCTCGAAACAGCATTCTTGAACGCTCCTCACGCGGCTCGTTTCCTTCTGCACAGCTCAGGTGCTAGCTCATTCAACACGTTGACTTCCCGACCTAGATACGCATAGCTAGAGCATTCGGAGATATTCGTTCGATTAGCGTGAAGGGAGCATTAGGTACCAATCCGTTTTTCAAGAACATTGTTGTGGAATCACAACCATATCTATGTTTATAATAGAACTAGCCTTAAAAGAATGAGTGACAACATGCTAGTTTCACACATTAACCAAAGGCATTTGACATGAATATCTCTTACCACAAGTGTACAATCAAGTAGGTAAGTTAAGTTCTGCCGTTGGCGCGGCCGCCTCTTTCATCCCCGAGCTTGAGTATCGCCACGGGCTCCCTAAGGCCCAGTGGCGATATGGTATCTGAGGACCGCCCACTATTGTGTATATAAACCCCGTGAATGTATTATTATGGTCGATCTTTGTACTAATCGTCGTAATAAACCTTTGTTACACACCCCTAGTACAATCTTCCTTTGGTAATCCACCAGAAACATCTCCCCGTTAAGTTCAGTCTCAAGCCGATCTTCCACAAGCACTGTAAAACTCGGCCAGCATTCGTTCCGCCTGCTCGATGTTCAGTGTTACAAGCACGAGTCGTCTGCAAAGCGGAGGTGATGTAGATAGCGGACGTCGTCCTTCACTCCCAAGTCTACCCATTCTAAATGACGCATGAAGTTTTCGGGAGCGGCACTGAAAAGTTAAGGCGAAATGGTAACACCTCTCTTCAGGTTGATGATGACTTCCGTGTAGAATGGTGAGATCCTGGTCGTGAAATTGTAGAGCTCACGAAGCATCTTTATATATTGAGTAGGGACACCCTGGTTGCCCAAGGCTTCCATTACCGCTTCTGTCTCGACGGTATCAAGTGCTTTCTTCAAATCGATGAAAGTAAGACATAACAGCATTTCGTACTCTTGCAATACTTCAGTGAGTCTTGAAAGAGAGTGAATATGATCGATTGTACTGAGCCCTCTCCAAAATCCTGCTTGCTCGCATGGCTGTCCTTCATCTAATATTCTGCCAATCTTGCTTAGAATGACGCGAGTGAAAAGTTAGTGGATTACAGACAGCAGTCAGATAATTGCCAATATCGTCTGGATCTCCTTTTTATACAGCAACACAGTCTTGTTAGTTTTCCACAAAGTGGGCACTTTGCATTCCGACAAGTACCGCGTGAAGAGCCTCGCCAGTGTTCTAACGATAACTGGTGGAAGAATTCAGATGTTTTGGTTCGATCCTATCGAGACCGGGCGCCGTACAATTTTTCATCGACGTAATGGCATTTCGAATTCCGGAAGGGAGAACCGAAGGAACGGTATATTCGTCTAGCTTAAAGGCACGGTTCACGATGAAAATGGTTACGGTATTCTTCCCTAAGGAATACACAGTGACCCCCATGGGCGTAGAAGGGACCCTCTCGTTCACAAAATCTCGACGGACAGGGCAGTGGAAGCCCTGTTGCTGGCTTGAGTGGCTTTCCCGCC